GGCCACCATCTCTTATCTGAAAATTACTACGGTATCCTCCTAACCAGTCTCCCTGGTTCTCCTCTTTGCTCCCTACATTCTATCTCCACACAGCAGCCAGTGTGATCCTGGTAAAACCTAAACCTGACCATGTCACTCTCCTGCTCAAAACCCTCCCACGGCTCCCCATTTCACTTAGAGAAAAAGCCAAAGTCCTTACGAGAGCTTACGAAGCCCAGGCTGTTGGATCTCCTGCTCCCGGAGACTTCCTATCCTACGACTCTCCTCATTTTCCCCACCCCAGTCGTACTAGCCCTCTTGCCCTCCCTCGACTATACCAGGCATGCTTCTGCCTACTGGCCTTTGCTGTTTCCTCTGCCTGAAACATTCTCCTCCTTGATATCCACTTCACTAACACTCTCACCTCCTTCAAGCTTGCTCAGATCTCACCTCTGTGAAGTTTACTCTGACCGCTATATTTAATATTCATTCATGCAACCTACCCTCCTCTTCCTCCACACACCAATATGTTCTCCTGATTCCTCTTTACCCTGCTCAATTCTTTCTTTTTTCTAAAGCAAGTATTATCTTTTAATATAATTCACTTATTTACTGTGCTGATTGTCTTTTTCTATATCCCTACCACTAGAACATAAACTCCATGAGGGCAGGGATCTTCCATCTGTTTTACTCAATGATATATCCTAAGCATCTAAAAAAGCGCCTAGGGCCAGTCCCGTGGCTTAGCGGTTGGGTGCGCGCGCTCCGCTGCTGGCGGCCCGGGTTCGGATCCCGGGCGCGCACCGACACACCACTTCTCCGGCCATGCTGAGGCCGCGTCCCACATATAGCAACTAGAAGGATGTGCAACTATGACATACAACTATCTACTGGGGCTTTGGGGGCAAAATAAATAAATAAATATTTAAAAAAATAAATAAATAAAAAAGCACCTAGCACAAATTAGGTGTTCAATAAATACTGAACTGCTCACTAAGTTGAAAGAACACTGAATGAATGAATAAATGAACAAATGATCAAATAAACTAACAGAAGAATAAGCAAACAAACAAATGAACGGTTGCCTTTCTAATTAGAGAACATGTGAACAGAGACCTGAAGGAGAGGAGGGAACAAAGCATCTATCCGGGAGAAAACCATTTCAGGTGAAAGAAAGAGCAAGAACAAAGGCCCTGAGGCAGATGCACGCTTGGTATGATCAAGAAACCAGGGGGCAGAAAGAAACAACAAGGAGGACAAGTGAATGGAGCAAGTGAGGAGGGCAAATAGTAGTAGGTGATGAGGGCATCAAGGTAATGGGAGGCCAGTGCACACGGGTAAAGCCTACAGCCCACAGGGCCACCTCTGGTTTGCACCGAGTGAGATGGGAAAGAAGCCACTGGAGAGTTTCTAATAGAGTGATGTGATCTCACTTACATGCCATTTAAAAATCTTCCCATAAAGAAGACACTAGTGGAGATGGACTTACAAACACATTCCACAAAACACCCAAGGAACTAGTAATTGGTTCAAGAAAGGAAAAGTACATATTGATCTCCAAACAAATTTTAAGTCCTGGACAAAATATTGGCAAACCAAATTTAGAAATGTATGTAATAATAACAGCTAACATTTATTGAGCACTACTCAAAATGCTTTCCATGGATTAACTCATTAATCCTAACAACCCTATGTTGAAAATAATATCATTCCACACATTTGGAGAAACTGAGACACAGAGAGGCTAAGTAGTTTGCCAAAGTCCACAGATAGAAAGTGGAGATCCTGGATTTTAAAAATACCAATGAGACCCTGATTTAATGACCCTGGGAGTTGGACTCAGTATTTTTTTTTT